CCAATGTCAACTCTGATACCATTGTAACAGCCTAAGCCCACCACTAGTAAACATTATCCATTTTGGCTCGTTACGTATCGTCGTCAGCCTCATGGTTTTAAAACGCATCTAACTGACGTAATACACAAACAATATTTACTAGCAGTGTGTTTAGCTGTTACAAATGATATCAAAGCTAGTCACCAGACACTACAAGGCACTAGTCAAGAGTAGAGCTAGACCCTCTCTACACTAGATCCATTTTAAAACTATGATACTCACACCATTACATAACGAGTCAAAGCGAACAATATTTAGTAACAGTAAACTCGAACTATTACATAATTATAAAATGGACCATATCAATACTATTACCACGACAAGATCCACTCAACCTTATCTATATACCATAAACTATTTAGATTATTTCTCAAACATACTTTTCAAGTACATGAATCACATACGGTTTAAGATTACACTAATAAACATGTCGGGTGTGTTCATGACACAGAAACCGAACGAGTTGAAAGTGCATGGCCTTTATTATGGCTATGGCAATGCACTTTTTATTGAATATCCCTTCAGTTTTTCAAGGGGAGGCATAATCCAAAGGGCTAAAAGGCACAAACAAGTTAGCAAAGAAGCCCTTCTTCCTCTTGGGGTTCCACCCCATGTCGTTGCAGAGCTGATCATTGTACCAAATATGCAAAGTGGCAAAACAAGCTCGCTTCGAGAAAGGGCCTGAGTAATGCTTCAATATCTTCTCCCAATTGGCTATGTCCTTCTCCATCTCCTTGATGCTCGGCAGCTTGAACGTGCCGGCGAGAAACTCCGCCACCCACCGGCATCGAATCTCCGAGGTGAACATGTTTGAAGGGCTCTCTGTAAACCCAACCACTGCGAGCTGCGGGATTCTGGGATGAATGCATTGCCTGTATAAGGGATTCACTGCATCGCGGAATGTCATGCGATTCCGGTGAGTTGCAGAGGTGAAGATTTGTTTGAGCTTTTGATCGCCTCGGAACCCTGTTGCTAAAATGACTAAATCTGAGTGGATTGGTTTGGTTTGTCCTTGAATTGTGATACCCTCTTCGCAGAACATGAAATTTGGTGATTTCTTCAGTATAATGCTTCCTTCGTCCACTTTTTCGTAGAATTTTTCGGGTAAGCTTGCGAGTTGACATGAACTGATGTCTTGTAGGAAGCTGTGGGTTGGAATCATGCCGTATTTGGCGAGTTTGTGCTTCTTTTTCGCGTGGGTTTCCACGATCTTTGCGAAAAACCATCTCTGTGAAGACAAAATCATACTTAAAACAGAGCAAAACAGAGCAAACACAGAGAGCATAACAGAGCAAACACAGAAAAAAAACAGAACAAAACAGAGCAAAACAAAGCAAAACAGATCAAAATTGTAACGGCCCAAGTCCACAACTAGTATATATTGTCCTTTTTAATATTTCTCAAGGCTTTAAAACGCGTTTGGTAGGGAGAGGTTTCCACACTCTTATAAATGGTGTTTCATTCTCCTCATCAACTAACGTGGGATATCACAATCCACCGGGTCCAACGTTCTTGCTGTCACTTGTTTCTTTCTCTAATCGATGTGGGACCCTACTAAATCCACTATCTTCATGGCTCAACATCCTTGCGTACACTCGTTCCTTTCTCTGATCGATATGGAACTCCACCAAATTCAACCCTTTCATGCTCCAGCATCTTTACTAGCACACCACCTCGTGTCTATCCCCCTTTGGGGAAAGCCTCCGCGTTGGCATAATACCCGGTGTCTGCCTTTGATACCAAATGGAACGGCCCAAGCCCACCACTAAAAGATATTATCCTCTGTGGGCAACTTCAATTCTCTAAATTTTACAATGATCCTTTATGCCAGACACTCAGAATTAGTATTAGTAACCGTCATGCCAACATTATGTAAAATATATGATACTTCGTATGCCTAGTGGTGTATGCATCCTTTACTTAGGGAGACGCATTTTAAAGTCTTGAGGGAAAGCTTGAAAGAAAGCTCAAAAAAGACATTATCGGCTAGTGGTGGGCTTAGACCGTTACAGAAACAGGACAAAAGAGTGCAAAACAGAGCCTGAGAGGAAATCAGAGCAAAACAGGGGATGATTACAATTGGGGAAAGAAGAACAGCGAGGAGATAGAGAATGAAATTCTCGCCAGGTTTGTGAATGAGAAGCTCAGCGAATCGGTTCATGTAGAGGAATGACAAGGGGATTCCCCATGGATGATTATCGGGGAGGTTCCAGTGGGCGGTTTTGTAGAGCACAGTGCAGGGATTCTTCGGACCTGGAAATTAGAGATTCAAGAACATGAAACTGAGAGAGATTAAGAGGGATTCAGAGGTGGGTTTTGTAAGGCTGAATCACCGTTGGTATTGGCGCATTCCATGGCGAGATCGAGAGCGGATTTCTGGAATCCGACCACGGTGACTTGCTTGTTCTTGATGAGCTTGGAAGCACTGTCGAAATCCATGGCGGAGTATTGGAGAGAGTGAAGAACCTTGCCGGATTTGAAAGCTTCAGGGCCGCCATTGGGAGGGAATTCCGGGATGTTTGGAACGTCGCTGAATCTTCCGATGCAGAGTATAACAAAGTCCACCACCACCTCCTGCAAATTCCGACGCTTACATTAGTTCTTCCAACATCATTTTCCAAACAAATCTCCACAATCATACGATATTATCGACTTTAAGCTTAAGCTCTCATGATTTTGCTTTTAATTTTCGGGACAAGGTCCTTTCTAAAATTTATAAGCAAGAAACAACATAAAACCGTAAGCTTCCAAACAGTGGGGGGAGATCAAGACTTTGACCGCGTGCCTATTGAAGAATGAGCCAACGACACATAGGCAATGTCTTGGTTATGGGAACCTATTGAAGTCGTAGCAAAACCGAGTCTTTATGGTTCAATTGTTACTACTTATGGACTCGAACTGGGGTGATTTGTCTTTGACTAGGATGAACGGACTGATGTTAAACAATTAGCATATAAGTTGTGAACTTATACTAAAAGTGAACAATATGTTACTATTGTAGAGATGGGTTGTTCGTAACAAAAACATCCTTAAAAAAAAATATTCTATACAAGTAATTATCATTTATATTAAAAAAAATATCTTCATGGTCAATCAAGTTAATGTCAATTTGAGTATAGTTCAATGGTTGCTCGTCAATAAATTAATATATTATTGAAAAAGAAAAAAACATAACAAATAATGCCAATAGGAAAAAACAAAGTTGATAAGATGTGGACTCCCATACCATACAAATTCAATTAATTTTGTTCTTTTGTTCCCATATATTTACACGTGGATATTCCAACGTGTTAAAAAATTTAAAAATAAAATCTAAATTTCCAATTTAGGATTTTTACTATAAAAATAAATAAAAATAATTATGTTTATATTAAAGAAAATAATGATTTATTAGATTAAAATTTAAAAATTAACGACTTATCTCACTTCGATCGGATCATTAGTGTGAGCATCAACGACGTTGAGCCGCCATTTCCGCCGGTCACCGAAGGCTTCGCCGGAGCCGCCCCAAAGATTCCAACCGTCAAGTTCCTCATCGGAACAGCCTTCATAGTCAATACTCAAGACTCTGGTGTTAAATCTGATGTGCTTCATCAATCCAAAATGGTCGGCGTAAGATTTGAGGTAATCGAGAACTTGATTGTACTTTGGAAATTCCTCGGTCACCGATTTCGGCCACGGAAAATCGGAGAATCGGTACATGTCTTTCGGGGTCTGCAGCGCCGTCGTCTGCAGCGTCTCGGTCCAAACGCCACCAATGGCGCCTCTCGCCTCGAAGACGATCGGAATGAATCCTTTGGATAGAGTGAATTTGCAGGCTGCTAGTCCGCTCACTCCGGCTCCGATGATCGCCACTTTCTTCGGTTCCATCGTCTTCTCCAATTCTCCCTCTCCGCTACTCTGTCTGTGTTCCGGTGGGTTGTTTTATGTTCGGAAGGGCTTTGGTTTTGATAGAACACGAACCATTTATTTCCATTATTATGGGGATATTTTTAATGCAAAATTGACCCTTTTAAATAAAATATATTGAGAAATTCATTCCATGGACAAAATTGAGCATCTTATCCACTGTTTTTATGGTTAGGGCTCAATCACCTACCTCTCCTAAACAAGTTCTAACTTGTTATTAATTATATGATAATGTGCTTAGTGTAATAAATGTATTAAACATTGTAGATGTATATGGTATGAATGTCTCTAATTGTCTCTAATTTGTGCGTATGGGATGAGTTTATGACGTGATGATTCTATTTAGTCTACTAATTCTTGCAAATTTCTCTTACCGATGCGTTGTGTGCTTAGTTAGGGACAATGAATATCTTTAACTGTTGAGCTGAGAGCTATATAAGGCTACCGAAAAGTTTAGTAGATGGGTTGTTTTGTAACAGTCCAAGCCTATCGCTAGCCGATATTGTCTTATTTGGGCTTTCCCTTCCGAGGTTCCCTCAAGGTTTTTAGAACGCGTTTGCTAGGGAGAGGTTTCCACACCCATAAAGAATGATTGGTTCTCCTCCCTGCTAAGTAAGATCTCACAATCCATCTCCTTCAAGGCTTATTGACACTTATTCCCTTCTCCATTCAAGTGAACCCTCAATCCACTCCCTTCGAGCTTAGCGTCCTTACTGGCACACCACCGCGTGTCCATTCCTTCATAGCTTAGCCTCATTGCTAGCACATCATTCAATGTTTGGCTCTGATACCATTTGTAACATCATCCTCTTTGGACTTTCTCTTCCGGGTGCCCTTATAAAGAATGATTCGTTATACTCCCCAACTGACGTAGGATCTCACATATTTGATCAAGATTGAGTCTTACATACAAGTTGGAAATTTGTACTAAATATAAATAAATATTGTTAGTTATACTACCTTTAAGACCGACAAAAAAGACTTAGCAACGAAGTCGGTTAGAAATAGGGTATACATTGCACTCAAACTGACCCGAATTTTGTCATTTGAACTAAAATAACGAGTTCTATGAAATAACATATCATATTTTATTCAATCTCTCACTAATTTGGTTCATAATGATGTGTACAAAAAAAAAAAAAAAAAAAAAAAAACATCTTGACTAACCAGAAGAACCAAATGGAGGCGTTCAAATTGCATTACTTTCTTATTGGGGCTAAGGAAATGCAATTGTTATTGGATATGATAGGGAGAATAGCCATTTTTCCCCCTAATTTTCAAGGAGTGGCATAATCTGAAGGACCATGAGGCACAAACAAGTTAGCAATAAAGCCCTTTTTCCTCTTGGGGTTCCACCCCATGTCCTTGCAGAGCAGATCACTGTACCAAATATGCACAATGGCAAGGCAAGCTCGCTTGGAGAAAGGGCCTGAGTAATACGTCAAGCTCTTCTCCCAGTTGGCTATGTCCTTCTCCATCTCCTTGATGCTTGGTAGCTTGAACGTGCCGTCCAGAAACTCTGTCACCCATCGGCACCGCAGCTCGGAGGTGAACAAGTTTGAAGGGCTTTCTGTAAACCCAATCACAGCTAGCTGTGGGATTCTGGGATGAATGCATTGCCTGATCAAATGTGACATAAACATCAATCAGAAACTCATCAACCGCAAGAACATGTGCAGTTCTCAACCAATACCTCATTGTAAATCCACAATAGAAGGCAATGAAATCATTTCCATTTTGCAGGATTTGCTATACATTTTCTTTTACTAGTTCTAATATGTGGAAACGTAGCACATTGTCATTAAGTAATCCAAGTTAATAGCCCCATAAACTTCCACTAGACACTCAAAGAATCCTATTAGAACAACTGAGAGCCGGATAGAAATTCAATAGGAAGGAATAAGAATCATAGTTTCAATAGGCCACCATGTTTTCAGTCTCTTTGTTACCCATTTGGAGAAATGATGGGAGAGGGTCGCTATAGTTATGTACCAACGGATATATGCGAGAGAACTTGCAAGTAAATATTTCAAATAGTTGATTCGAATCTACATTTAACTATTATCAAGAGGCAAGTACATTGAATAATTTTTTTCAACGACCCTACTAAACAAGTGTGGATTTGGCTAAAGGTCATTTTTACTCGAGTCATTGCAGATGCAATGACCCAAACCCACCCCTAGCAGATATTGTCTACTTTGACCCGTTACATATCGTCGTCAGCCTCACAATTTTAAAATGCGTCTAAGGAGATGTTTCCACACCCTTATAAAAAATGATTCATTCCCCTTTTCACCTGAGGTGGGATCTCAAAATCCAACCCCCTTGGAGGCCCAACGTCCTCGTTGGCACATGATCAGGTGCTTAGCTCTGATAACATTTGTAATGGTCCAAACCTACTACTAGCAAATATTGTCCGCTTTGGCCCATTATGTAGATAGTCTCACAGTTCTAAAACGTGTCTACTAAGGAGAGATTTTCACACCCTTATAAAGAATGCATCATCTCCTACCAATATCTAGACTACAATTATATGAGATGGATTCCTACCAATATCTAGTCTGGTAAAAGTACAATATCTCAAGCAGCATACTAGTTTCATCTTTCACCAGCTATTAAGTAACTAAACAATTCAAGATAATGTCATAGCAATTCAAAAGTTGAAGGGAGTGAAACAGGGATAGATTCAAACGAAAGACTAACCTGTACAAGGGAATCACTGAATCGTCAAATGTCATGCAATCCCGAAAAGTAGCGGAAGTAAAGATTTGTTTAAGCTTTTGATCACCTCTAAATCCAGTAGCCAAAATGACCAAATCTGAACGAATCGGTTTGGTTTCTCCTTCAATCATAATACCGTCTTCACAGAACCAGAAACTCTGTGATTTCTTCAATATAATGCTTCCTTGGTCCACTTTTTCGTAGAATTTCTCAGGCAAGCTTGCAAGTAAACATGAACTGATGTCTTGCAGAAAGCCATGGGTTGGAACCATGCCGTATTTGGCCAGTCCGTGCTTCCTCGTTGCGTAGGTTTCGACAATCTTCGCGAACAACCATCTCTACAAAGAAAAAGAAAAAAGAAAAAAGAAAACCACAATAAAAACCCTAGAGATTCAAAACAGACAAAAAGAATAGAGAGAGCGAGAGGGAGAGGTGATAATTACAATTGGGGAAAGAATAATCGCGAGGAGATAGAGGAGAAAGCTCTCGCCAGGCTTGTGAATGAGAAGCTCGGCGAATCGACTCATATAGAGAAAAGTCAAAGGGATTCCCCATGGATGATGATCAGGAAGGTTCCAGTGCGCGGTTCTATAGAGCAGGGTGCAGGGATTCTTCGGACCTGCAAATCAGAGAAAAGAAGAATAAGAAACGGAGAAAGAGAAAGAGAAATGGAGGGAAAATCACCATTGGCATTGGCGCATTCCATAGCGAGATCAAGAGCTGACTTCTGGAGACCGACGACGGTGACTTGCTTGTCCTTGATGAGGTTGGAAGCAGTGTCGAAATCCATGGCGGAATACTGGAGAGAGTGAAGAACTTTGCCGGCTTTGAAAGCTTCAGGGCCGCCATTAGGAGGGAATTCAGGGATGTTCGGAACGTCGCTGAATCTTCCGATGCAGAGTATAACGAAGTCCACCACAATCTCCTGCACATCCCCATGCCCTTGTCTTTAATATATATATATATATTTATTTTCATCCCTGAACTTTCAAAATGTCTCCTAAGTACACGACATTCTAATTTTGTAATTAATATAGCCACTTACATATTCAAGTTTTTTTTTTAATAATATAAGGATTATTAAACATAAAAAAATAGTTATTTTAATTTTTTTTTAATATTATAACGGGTCTTATTTTTTTTAATAATATGAGATGAAAATATATTTATTCAAAATCGGATAGGAGTAGGGACGGAGAATGCACTCCTCGTTTAGTGCATAAAATAGACATCTCTATTTACGTTAAATATCAATTTGAGTATAATTCAATTTATTAACATATTATAGACAACACGAAAGAGATAACAAATAATACAAAGGTAAAGCCAGTGATGATGAGATTTGGAGTATCATCCATACAAATTCAATAATTTTATCAATTTTTTCAAATAAAATAATTCAATTAGAATATTTGAATGTTATGTTATTCCCTTTTGGTTTTTACAATTTTCTCCTTTAATTCCAATATTATACACATTTTTTAAAAAAAGTATATAATAATTTATATAATTTTTTTTAATTATAGATTTGTAACTTAGATTATTCGATATTTAAAATTTGTGTTCTATTGATATTTCCCATTTTTTTAATTTTTAATTTTTAATTTGTAATTTTATTAACATATATTTATTTTTAATATTTTATATTATATATATAGATGTAAGATTTAATAATTTAATTAAATGTAAATAAAAAAATTTAGAAAATATAAAATCAAAAGTTTTAAAAAAATGTAGAAAAATCAAAATGGTAAGGAATCGATATACGTGCTGAAAAGGCAAATGATAAACTCACCTCGAGTGGATCATTAGTCCGAGCATCAACGACATTGAGCCTCCATTTACGGCGTTCACTGAAAGCCTCGCCGGAACCGCCCCAAAGAGTCCAACCGTCAAGTTCCTCATCGGAGCAGCCTTCACAGTCGATACTCAGGACTTTCGTGTTAAAACGGATGTGCTTCATCAATCCGAAATGGTCGGCGTAAGATTTGAGGTAATCGAGAACTTGATTGTACTTGGGAAATTCTTCCGTCACCGTTTTCGGCCAGGGGAAATCGGAGAATCGGTACATCTCTTTCGGCGTCTGCAGCGCTGTCGTCTGCAGCGTCTCGGTCCAAACGCCGCCAATGGCGCCTCTCGCCTCGAAGACGATCGGAATGAATCCTTTGGATAGAGTGAACTTGCAGGCCGCTAGTCCGCTTACTCCGGCGCCGATTATCGCCACTTTCTTCGGTTCCATCGTCTTCTCCGATTTCCTCTCTCTTTCTCTCTCTCTCTCTCTCTCTCCTCCTCCGATTTCGCTCTGTTCTGTTTCTCTGTATATTTATATATTTGGGAGTTTTGCTTCGGTCTTTTTTTTTTAAATATTTAAATTTAAATAATTTAAATTAAAATAAAAACAGTTTAACCTGCTAAATTTGGATATTTTAAGATTTCTTTTAATATATATTGTATATTTACCTATACTTTTAAATATTCAAATTTATTTTTTTATATATTCCATCAAAATTAAAATTGATCCGTCTTAATTTGCAAAGGTGAATATAGACTTTTTTTTTTTTTTTTTAATTAATAAACTAATTTTAAAATTTATTAAAAGTATATAAATTAAACTTAGATGTTCATTTTAAAAATATTTAATTATTCTATCCTCTCCTTTATTGTAATTTGACATTTATATAATTATTTTAAAGAAAATATAACAAAACAGATAATTAAATTAATATGTATTATATCTTACAAAAATATCATTGATCGTAAAATATTCGTGAGTTTAAATTTTAAAATGCATGCATAAATAGTGATGTAATAGTAAGAGCTGACGATAGAAATTCGGTCCCAATTAAATTCAAAATTAATTTTTGGACAAAAAAATAACCGAAAAACTAAAACATAAAACATAGTGGGAAAATTATAGTTATGAATTATTTAATTAGTAAACTTAAGTTAAGTCATTAATAATATATACCTTCCTTTTATAGGTTAAAAATGTCTGTTTTGAATAATTTATATACTTTTAAAAAGTATTTATTTTTAATAAAAATATTATAACTTTTTATTTCGATCTCCTAATTTTCCGTGGTTTATGAAAATGACCAAATTACCCTCTACTACGTCGTTGACAACCTATTAACAACCAACTTTGGTGACCACAATATGATGAGGACTTTAGGGATTATGGTCCGATCAATTTGATGACCACTTTATTTATTATTGGTCGATGTTAGTCAAACGAATATAATATTTTTAATACAAATTTAAAGTTATTAATTTATAGTGACAATTATCGGTTTTGTAGGAATCTAACCTCACTCGGTAGAATGTTGTTGACTTCCTTTTGATCGTAGTCATCTTAAATTCTTTTTCCGTACCTAGAGGTTTTTGAGAGAACAAGTGATTAGCTTTCATTCTCAGAACGTTTAATCTCTTTTTACGATAGGTCGATTTGACGCTTTCGAACACCTAAACAGTGAATTTTCTTTCGACATAGATCACTATGAAGGTAGCGGCCATGTTCGGTGGTAATGCAAAAAAATAAAATAACATAAATTAAAAATAATTATAAAAATAATATAAATTCAATTCAATTTAATTTAATAGGGAAAATGAATGACGTGGTGAGAGGTTGTAATTATAAAAGAAAAGATAAATATAATGAGACAAAGAAAATATTTGGGATGGCAGGAATCACGTGACTGATACGGTGTCCTTTTGGCCGTTTTCAATTAAAGCTCACATTCGGGTATCGAATCATTCCAATGCACTCATTACATTATTGATTATATTATTATTATTATTATTATATAACTTATTGTATACCCCGTAGTAAGAAAAACGTGCTAAATTAGTCGAAATGAATACAGCGATGAATTGGCTGAGTCTAAGCTTCAATTGGATGGAACAGTAGAGAATCGATCAAGCCTGGGCTTGAACTAGACCACACACGTTAAATCATTTGTGGCCCACTAGATCAATTGTCTTCCTCGTATGGGTGCTTACCACTTCGGTTCATGTAATTTATTAGATTTACCATAAATAAATAAATAATATATTATTGAGGTAAATGATAGTAATTATTTTTTTAATTGATTAAAGTGTATTTATTTAATATATAATATATAGAATAAGATATATTAATTGAGTAACGTACATTATTCCTTAGGTAAATCCATTATTCTCAACTCACGCAAATGGATCAATTCACGCAATTCTAAATTCCATATTTTATTTATTTTAATTAATTATTCTCTTGGCATTTTTTTATGGATTTTTCTTCATTAATTAATTAAATATTCACGCAATTCTATTTCAACGTGTTGTCCATGCCACCCTTCAATCTTTTTTTTTTATTATTTTAACGGTTTATCTTAAAATTTTTAAAAATAAAATTCACATCTATCTATCGATATATATATATTATTTGTATAAAGTTTTTAAAAAAATGTATTAAATACGACGGATCATATTCGACAAAAAAAAAAAAAGAAAAAAATTAATACTAACATGTCTCATGCCTTACACTTCATGTGTCTCTGCGTCTAACCGTTTATATTTTGTTCCAATATTAGAGATGTATACGGGTTAAGTTAGAGACTCGAACAATTTGAATAAGTTAACAATCTAACTAAATACTTCGAGTTTGGTGTTTTTTTTAATTATTATTTTCTTTTTTACTTGTCCAGAAATATAAATTTTTTAAATTAAATAAAGTATATGGACTAAATTATTACGTCATATATAAACTCGAAATTATGAAAATTAAATTTTACAAATCAAATCGAGAGTTAGGTCCAAATAAAAATAATTTTAAATTTTGTTTTTCATTTTCTAAAAAAAAAACAAAAACAAAAACAAAATTGCCTTACGCATTAATAATTAATCCTTTTTTTTTTTTTGTGTGTCTTAATGAATTTTTAACTTAATTTTTTTTTATTTAATCCTTAATTTTTTAAAATTAATAATTTTGTCTATAAAATTTGAAATTTGAATTTCCATTTAATTGTTGAGATTTAAAAATTAATATTTTCAATTCATTTAATATATATAATTTAAATTTAGGTAACATATATTAGCTACATACGTCCTTAGATCAATTAATTATAAAAATAAAAATGAAGAAGAAACGATTGTTGAGGTCATCTTCTTCAGTAAGTCCGGCGAGAAGTTGCCGGAATTCAAACGACAGCTCGAAGCTCTCCGGTGAGCAGAGCAAATTTCCGGTGCTGCGAGAGAATGGGCTTGGTGATGGCGGCTTGTAATCTCGATGTCAATTCATCGGAACCCGATCCATTTTCATGTATGGCAGCACCCATCACCGTCTGAAAAATTTGCAGGGGGTCCCATGGCTGACCACCAAGATGGCGCACCTGCAAAACGTAGGATCCAATAACTTCTATTATAAAAATTATAATTCAACTACTCTTGAGATTAGAGGTTAAAATCTCCCGTTCTCCAATTTCTTATACTATAAATGTGTATAAGATATTCTGAAATTTTGAGTTGGGTTAATGAAATTCTAAACTTACAATCTCGTGTTTATCGTGAGTCTAATAAATCCTACTATGCTCAAGTTGACAATAGTGTTATATTAATCTAAGTTCAAGTCTATTGACAAATATTGTCCTCTCTATGATTTCCTTTTTCGTACTTTAACTCAAAGTTTTTAAAACGCATATACTAGATAGAGGTTTTTTCAACCTTATAAAATGTTTCGTTATGCTCTCCAACTCATGTGAGATCTCATCATTCACTCAAGGACCAACGTCCTCGTACACAACCAAGTGTCCAATTATTAGGTAAATACATTATTTTCATTCCTGCAATTATAAATTCCATATATATATTTTTTATTTTAATTAATTACTCTATTAGGCGTTTTTTTTTATGGATTTTTCTTAATTAATTAAATATTAACGCAATTCTAATTTCACTTTGATCGAGAGCAAATCTTACATCAACCACCTAACGGAATGGAGAAGTTCAAATTGCATTACTTTGTTAGATGTTATGGGGGCTATGGAAATGCAATTTTTATTGGATGTGATAAGCTGAAAAGCCCTTTCTTCCCCTAATTTTCAAGGGGAGGCATAATCTGAAGGACCATAAGGCACAAACAAGTTAGCAAAAAAGCCCTTTTTCCTCGTGTGGTTCCACCCCATGTCCCTGCAGAGCTGATCATTGTGCCAAATATTCACAATGGCAAGGCATGCTCGCTTGGAGAAAGGGCCTGAGTAATGCGTCATGCTCTTCTCCCATTTGGCTATGTCCTTCTCCATCTCCTTGACGCTTTGTAGCTTGAACGTGCCGTTCAGAAACTCCGCCACCCATCGGCACCGCAGCTCGGAGGTGAACAAGTTTGAAGAGCTTTCTGTAAACCCAATCACAGCTAGCTGTGGGATTCTGGGATGAATGCAATGCCTGATCAAATGTGACATAAACATGTGATCACTAAGATTCTATATTCCTAACAGAGAATGACATGAAATGCAAACATCGATAGGATTTAAATTGAAGCGAATGATAAACTCATCAAACGCAAGAACATGTGCAGTTCTCAACCAATACCTCATTGTAAATCCCCAGTAGAAGGCAATATAGATACACTTTCCTTTTACTAATTCTAATATGTGAAGGAAACGTATCACATTGTCATTAAGTAATCCAAGTTAATAGAGCCAGAAACTTCCATTAGACACTCAAAGAATCCTATTAGAACAACTGAGAACCTGATAGAAATTCAACATGAAGGAATAAGAATCATAGTTTCAATAGGCCACCCATGTTTTCAGTCTCTTTGTTACCCATTTGGAGAAATGATTGGAGAGGGTAACAGTTCAAGCCCACTAGTAGATATTGTTCTCTTTAAACTTTCCCTTTCTAGTTTTCCCTTTCGGGCTTTCCCTCAAGGTTGGAGAGTTTTCCACACCCTAATAAAGGACGTGGGATCTCATAAGTTATGTACTATTGAATATATGCGAGAGAACTTGCAAGTAAATATTTCAAATAGTTGATTTCGAATCTAAATTTAACTCATATCAAGAGGCAGCTACATTGAATAATTTTTTCAACGACTCTACTAGACTAGTGTGGATTTGGTTAGGTTAAAAGAAGGTCATTTTTACTTGGGTCATTGCAGATGTTCCACTTTAGACTACAATTATATGAGATGAATTCCTACCAATATCTAGTCTGGTAAAAGTGCAATATCTCAAACAGCATACTAGTTTCATCTTTCACCAGCTTTAAGTAACAAAACAATTCAAGATAATGTCATAGCAATTCAAAAGTTGAAGGGGGTGAAACAGGGCTATGGATTCAAACGAAAGACTAACCTGTACAAGGGAATCACTGAATCGTCAAATGTCATGCAATCCCGAAATGTAGCGGAAATAAAGATTTGTTTGAGCTTTTGATCACCTCTAAATCCAGTAGCCAACATGACCAAATCTGAGCGAATCGGTTTGGTTTCTCCTTCAATCATAATACTGTCTTCACAGAACCAGAAACTCCGTGATTTCTTTAATATAATGCTTCCTTCGTCCACTTTTTCGTAGAATTTCTCAGGCAAGATTGGAATTAAACATGAACTGATGTCTTGCAGAAAGCTATGGGTTGGAACCATCCCGTATTTGGCCATTCCGTGCTTCCTCGTTGCGTAGGTTTCCACAATCTTCGCGAACAACCATCTCTACAAAAAAAAAAAAAAACCACAATAAAACCCCCAGAGATTCAAAACAGACAAAAACATAGAGAGAAAGAGAGAGGTGATGATTACAATTGGGGAAAGAATAATCGCGAGGAGTTAGAGAAGAAAGCTCTCGCCAGGCTTGTGAATGAGAAGCTCGGCGAATCGATTCATATAGAGAAAAGACAAAGGGATTCCCCATGGATGATGATCAGGAATGTGCCAGTGCGCGGTTCTATAGAGAAAAGTACAGGTATTCTTCGGACCTGCAAATCGGAGAAAAAGAAGAATAAGGAACTGAGAAAGAGAGAGAGAGAGAGGAATCGCGGGAAAATCACCATTGGCGTTGGCGCATTCCATGGCGAGATCAAGAGCGGACTTATGGAGACCGACGACGGTGACTTGCTTGTCCTTGATGAGGTTGGAAGCAGTGTCGAAATCCATGGCGGAATACTGGAGAGAGTGAAGAACTTTACCGGCTTTGAAAGCTTCAGGGCCGCCATTAGGAGGGAATTCAGGGATGCTCGGAACGTCGCTGAATCTTCCGATGCAGAGTATAACAAAGTCCACCACAATCTCCTGCAAATCCCCACGTCCTTGTCCTTCGTAGTGAATATATATATATATATATATATATATATATATATATATATTATTATATACCTTTTTAATATATATTTTTTTATCCCTAAACATTCAAAATGTCTCACATTCTAATTTTATGATTAACAGGTCTCCTACTTATTCTGCATTTTTTTAATATTAAAGAGAATATTAGACATAAAGAGTATTATCATCATAGTCCGTTAAGTTTAGAGATATTCACGGGACGGGGTAGGATTTACGAGGGGTAATTTACAAATATATTGAGAATATATTTAAATTAAACGGAGGTAAAATATAGTCTCTTCTCAAGTACCATTTATCTAATGAGAAAAGAAATGTTCCTCACTCTCTCTCCCGTTCAAGCCCTAAATTTTCACCCCACCAGTAAAAGGACATTTATAGTTAAGATTTAAATATAATTTAATTTATTAAAAAATATATCTTGTCCTAATTCAAACGTTTGACATTCTTTGGTCAATGACAACCTGATAGTGTTTTCCGTTTACTCTTATTCTTACTATTATATTAGATTTTATAAAAACATAATTATAGATATATAACAATTTTAAGATTTTTAACAATGGACCAATGTGTATTATAGAAATAATTTTATAGAGTTTAAACTTGAAACTGATGTAATAGGCTCACATAGGTTAACTTGGATTTCAAAGGACAAAATCGAACTTTCGTTAAATATATATTCGTGACAACAACTTAAGTTAATCACGTAAGTGACTTTACTATTGGCATGATTATATTTGATGTTGACACGTACCTTATGGTTCTGCACATGTCATATATAATGATATGTGTGAATTGTTTGTGAATCGATATGCTTATGATATGTTATGACATGTGAATTACGGTACGATGTGTTCAATAATATGTTTGAGATAAGATAAGAGAAGGGTGCACAAAATAAAATGTAATAATAGGAGTAAGATAGTTCATGAAAGGTTAATGTTAGATTATATGCCGAAGTGTTATGGATACGAGAAGTATCATTATGTTTTCATTTTCAAAAAAAAAAAAAAGAAAAAAGAAAAAAAGAAAAAAAAGAAAGAGAGGCGCATTAATAATTGATCCTTTTTTTTTATTGTCTTTATGCATTTTTAAAATAAAAAAAAACCCTTTAATTTTAACTTTTAAAATTACTAATTTTGTCTATAAAATTTAATTAATTTATAAATTTCAAATTTAAATTTTAATGGGTGTATGAACATATAAATCATTTCAATTCATTTAAAAATACATATAATTAAAATTTAGCTATTAAGTTCTTAGATCAATTAATACCCATTTTTTTAAGGACCATTTAGAAAACAATTTTAAAATTTATTAATTTTAAATCTCCTAAACAAAAAATATTACTTATAAAAAAAAACGAAATTAAAATAGTTGGAATAATATAATTACTTTATTCTGCCGCCCAAACCTGAAATTCAATCTTTTATATATTAAAAACATTAATTCAAAAGTAAAAAGAAGAATAGACGATTGTTGAGGTCATCTTCTTCGATAAGTCCGGCGAGGAGTTGCCGGAATTCAAACGACAGCTCGAAGCTCTCCGGTGAGCAGAGCAAATTTCCGGTGCTGCGAGAGAATGGGTTTGGTGATGGCGGCTTGTAATCTCGATGCCAATTCATCAGAGCCCGATCCATTTTCATGCATGGCAGCACCCATCACCGTCTGAAAAATTTGCAGGGGGTCTCCATGGCTGACCACCAAGATGGCGCACCTGCAAAACGTAAGATCCAATAAAATTATTAAATTTAGCTATGTTTATAAACGTTATCATCCATCTCACCCTAGTTTAACCGTAATTGACATGTACTAAATCTCTCGAGAT